TGTAAAAATTCCCCAGGTGATTCCAACATGTAGCCAAGGCTGAGAAAACCCTGGGACAGCAGTTCAGTTCCAAACTGTCCAAAGGAGCCTGACCAGAGAGTACAAGCTACGTAAAGACCGTAAAGACCGTGTCTGTCACATTCTTTGATCACATGGCTTTGCTCTCCCTGCTCCCGTAGTGCGTTCGCAGGTGCCCTGCTGAGTGAGGCACGCACTCCCTTAGTGCTTTAAACAAAACTCCCCCACAGAAGTTCACACACCGAGCTCTGGTTCACTGTCTGCACTTCCCCTCCTTCCCTGCTGCAGAACCTGAGCTCAGGGGGCAGGAACCCCGTCCTGCTGGCCTTGGCAGCTGGGCCCGGCATGGTGCCACCCGCATTATAGGTGCTTAAATGCATCTTTATTTGAATCTGGAAAAAAAACAGTAATAGTTGTTAGAGTCAAGTGAGGAATGGCCTAGTAAAAAGCCATTCATTTCCCATCCAGTCTCTCCTTCGACTACCTCAAAACAGAGGATCGAAGGAAGTCCAAAGATCCTGAGTGAAAAATCACCCCGGCTGCGCAGGCGAAGCCAGAATGCAGGGTCCGAGGGCTGCACTGTCGTGCCGAGGAGTCCGCCAATCCGTCTCCTCCGGGAAACTGGCCCCGCTGGACTCAGCCGCCCAGCGAAGGCTGCAGGGACCAGAAGACGGGACAGACAAACAGATGCCGGGTCTCTAAGTCAATCCCCCGTGGTTGGCTTTCCCCCCCAAAACTGGCAGGAGGGGCCCAGAGCTTGGGGCAAACCTAAGAGGACGTGGTTGGGTGAGTTAGAAGCACAGGCTGGGCATTGGACCCCAAGATGCTGTAGGATTTGGTACGCGTGTGGGGAAGGGTATTTCTCAGGCAGCAAATCAATGAGTTGACGTCTTCCTCATTCTGCAACGTGGTATAGAGGTTGATAGTGAGGCTTCTGGAGCCAGATTCTGGGGTTTGAATCTGGCGAGTGTGACCTTGGGCAACTTATTTAACTTCTCTGGGCCTCGTCTTCGTCTCCTGTAAAATGGGGACACAGTTTTTATGAGGATTAAATGAGTTAGTCTGTATAATTTTTCAAGACTAGTTCTTGGAGTACAGTAGATAATTTAATATTTTATTAACCACCATCTACTGGGTGTTTCAGTTGCTGCACAATAAATCACCCTGAAAAAATAGTGCCTTAACCCATCAGACCATTTCATTTGGTCATTATTCTGTAGGTTGGCCTTTTGAGCTGAACTCAGCCGGGCAGTTCTTCTGCTGGAATCACCTGGAATCGCTCTCGTGGCTGCAAACATCTGGCAGAGAGACTAGGGCTGGACGGTCTAAGATGGCCTCACTCATGTCTGGCAGCTGGGGCTGGCAAAAGCTGCAGATGTAGACAAAAGAGCAAGGAAAAATGAAGGATTCAAAAAGGCCGAGGAGCAGCCCTGGCTGGTGTGGCTCAGTGGATTAAGTGCCAGTCTGCAAAGCAAAGGGTAGCCTGTTCGATTCCCAGTCAGGGCGCATGCCTGGTCTCCAGTCATGGGGGCACATGAGAGGCAACCACACATTGATGTTTCCCTCCCTTCCCCTCTCAGAAAATAAATAAATAAATCTAAAAAAAAGAAAAGACCCAGGAGCAGATTTGATGGTGAGAAGCTCGCAGTGACTTCCCAGTAGAACAGAGGAGGCCGCACTTGTACAGGGTGGAGGAGAGCTCCAAGCACGCTGCTCTCCGAAATTCAAGGTTGGGGACATCTCCGGGACTGACATGATCCTGAGGCTGCCCTTCTTCCGCTTCCAACCTATTAAAGTGAAGAAAATCTTTTGTCTCGAAAATAAAACACTGACTTTCCTTTCTACGCTGAAGGAGAGAGGCCTGCCAGACTCTCCTTACCCTTCTTGCTCTCTCCCCCCTACCGGCTGGCGGGCGGTCAGGCACTGTCAGGACTCGCATCCAAGGGAGACAAGCGTCGGCGGACAGACTGCTATTTACTCCCTAGCACAGCCCTGCTGTGTTTTCACAGCTCAGAATAGTTCCCCTGGACCTCTCCAGGCCTGGGAGCCGGTGCCGGGGGCGGGGTGGGGGGCCTCACTGGTTGTTTTCATGACAATTCCGGGCCTCACCTCTTCCTCTTTCTCTGCATCATGGTCCTCATTTGGGAACCCTCAGAAGGGGTAAGTTGTGGGTTAAGAGGGTCCAAGGCTACTCATTTCCCACTTATGCTCCCCAGCTGGGTTCCAGAAGACAGAGGACAATCACTGACTGGACAACGTGGGCATTTTGGTTGGGATAAAAATTCCACAGCTCTTAAACAAAGAGCTGATTACAGGACTACAGGGCAGAGCTGGGGGAGAAAGAGAGAGGGGAAGGGATGACCCCTCCCCGATCTGGATCCTGGCTGGAGCCGGGCTCTGCCCAGGGGACCGACTCCTGACCGAGAACTGGGGTGGGCCTGTCCGACTCTGGGTGCATCGCGGGTCTCGGCTGGGCTCTGGCAAGGCCAGTGTTTGGAAGGTGCCCAGAGGGGGAGGAAGAACTGACTTCCCTGAATACTCTTTCAAACTCTTTGAATGTTTTTAAACCGTGTGAATATATTCCTTTTGAACACATTTTTAAAAATGAGCACACCTTTTTCTTCCAACAATAATGAATCCTTTACTTCTGTTAGGTCACTAAAAATCAGGCACCACCTCACTGGAGTTCCATTCAAAGGAGCAGCCCAGGTCAGGAAATGTTAGAACTGGAGCGGGGGGTGACAGTCACCAAATCTCAGCGGACAGCTGACGAAAGTAAAATCCAGACAGCTTCAGTGACGGGACCAAGGTCACACAGCTCTTCACCTTCCTAGTTATTCTTTCTCTTTTTACTTACAAATCCTAGTGACACCCTGGCTGGTGTGGCTCAGTGGATTGAGCTCCAGCCTGTAAACCAAAGGGTTGCCAGTTCGATTCCCAGTCGGAGCACCTGCCTAGGTTGTGGGCCAGGTTCCCCCATGTGGGGTTCACGAGAGGCAACCACACATTGATGTTTCTCTCCCTCTCTCTCTCTCCCTCCCTTTCCCTCTGTCTAAACATAAAGAAATAAATCCTAGTGATGCAGAGTGTGGGACAGTCTCACAGCTGCCTGCTGGAAGCTTGAGGATGTTTTCTGAGGGTCTTCTAAGGAAAAACACTCCCAGCCTTTATGCCCCACTTGTCCCCAGTCCCCGCCTCGTTCCACGCCCAACCAGGTGGAGCTATGACTGAGTGATCGGTGACATAGTCTCTCCCTTTTTTCTTTAGTTGGCCCCCATTCTTTCAGATAATCTATGAGACGAAGCAAGGAGGGAGAACAGGTTGGGGCTAGGTCTTTAGCAGACACCCCCCATCTCTCCTCAGACAGTCTGCCTTCGCCTCTGGGGTCTGACCAGGAAGAGCTTTGTGCAAATAGTCCCCACCATTCCCTTAGAGGCTTCCTTCTCTCGACTCCACTGGGCACCACCAACAGGGCCAAACTCCTGGTAGAAAGGGTCAAACCAGGCCTCAAGGATGTGTCCTGGTTACTAGGGTGGGCTGGCACCACCAGGGGGTCGACTGGTGGACCCCCTGAGCTGGAGAAATTCACCGTTTGGCCACGGGGGCACTGGTAGCCATTTGTGGGAACAGGATATTCTCTTGGGGGGAACAACAGCTTCTTTGGGGAGGAGGTTAAAGAAGATGGAGGAGGAGGAGGAGAGTCAGAAAGCCAGCCTGCACTTCCCAGAAAGACTCCAACGATTCATTCAGTTTGGGGAGAAAGCAAACCCCGCGGCAGCAGGAGGAAGGTCGTGAGCAGGGAGTTCTTACTGTTGACGATGGAGCAAACATCCTCTGGTGTTTTCCTGTGGACGGAATGTCCAGCCCATCCTGAGACAGACAGCATGCCCCCCGCGCCTGGGCACTGAGTGCACAGTTCAAGGTCCTGGAGCTGAACTATTCTCACCAGACCGGAGATAAGTCAGCCACATTCACTGGCGAGCAATGATTAACCCGCCTTTCCCTTCACCTGCTTTCCCCAACATATTTTTTTGTGAAACAAGAACAGGGTCACTCACTTCAAAGGTCTAACCAGTTTCCACCGTCTCCTTACTCACCTCCCCCACTGATCAACTGGTAGGGGAAGAAGCACTGAAAAAGAAATAAGCAACAACAAAAAGCTGCACATCTCGCAGCTTGGGTTGTGACCCTTCGGAGAAGTCTCCCCCACCGCTCAGACAAAGCCTCGGCCTCGGGCTGGGTTCTGCGCCCCTGAATCAGGGTCCAGACCAGACCTGTGCTGGAGCTCATGGCCGAGCAACAAGGCAGGGCCTCTCTCACGGAGCCCGGAGCCCCAGCCAGGACAGAGGATTTGGCTGTAGATAATGTCAGCGTTTATTTTTGGTCGTAAAAGCAATTTTTGGATGAGATGTGCAGTAAATTATGACTCCTTCCCCTCCTCGAGCCCCTGTCAGCAAATAAACTCGTCTGAGAGAATGAGTCAGCCTCTGTCTAGGGGGGGAAGGTGCCAGGACTCCGGAGGCAGCTGCACCCACTGAACAGCCGACCAGACTGCGTTGCCTGCCACCTTCCCTTTATGTTCTTCCCCAACCCAGACGCCTGAGCCTCTGGTTTCTGTTTGTGCAGAAAGTGCCTGGGGAGTACCCAGCCAGCCTTCCTGCTGGGGAGCCACGGAACTTTCCATCTTGCCTCGGCTGGTCCCTTTCCCACAGGCCATTTGGAAGTCTAGAGTCACCTCCTCCGGGCACAAAATGATGGGGACTCACCGGGCACTCACTGATATTTGTCATGTGGATTCGGTGTCAATCTAAAGACCCCCTAATAGGAGCAGTTAGCTGTGTAAATGTCTGATTTCCCTGCTCCGACAGTGTGCAGGTCCCAGAGGACAACCACGATTTAACCTGGAATTCCTCAGAGGGCCGGGCACCGGCTTCACTCAGGGAACATTTGTTGAATTAAACCAGAGAACTTCTTTTTTTTTTTCTTTTTTTTAGATTTTATTTATTTATCTTTAGAGGGGAAGGGAAGGAGAGAAATAGTAATGTCTGGTTGCCTCTCGTGCGTCCCCTGCTGGGACCTGGCCTGCAACCCAGGCATGTGCCCTGACTGGGAATCGAGCCGCCGCTATTTGGTTCGCAGGCCAGAGCTCAATCCACTGAGCTACACCAGCCAGGGCTAAACCAGAGAACTTCCTGAAAGGGAAGGATGACAGGAGTTAAGGAGATGATGGAATCCCCTCTCTGGAGGGAGTTCTTGAAATGCGTGAATTTTCATCGAAACCTTCAGCAGCTCCAACGCCTCATCCACACGACTCACCTCAAACATCCACATGCCCTCTGAGCCTTTGAAGGCTCCACACTTTCTCTCCTCAGTCGGCTTTCCAGCAGGTTCAGGTGGTCTGCGGGGCCCTCACCTCTCCCTGCACTTGATAAGAATGTTCTGGAGACAGCAGGAAGGGGCCGGAAGGTAGACAGGTGGAAACTGGCAGATCACCTCGTGACCACACACAATTGCTGGGAAGGACCCAGAGGGTCTGTCCCCCTGCCAGGCGGGCAGCGGGCCAGAGGGGCCCCTCCTCCGCCCCGTGTGCGGATATCGGCCCCAGCAGTGCTCCTTATCCACACAAGCATTCTCCCCGAGGGTCCTCCGAGAGACAGGGCTCTCCACCGCCCCACCACCACACGCTGAGCACGTGGCTCCTGGCAGCCCTGTGGAGAACCAGATAGTGGCCTTTGAGTCTTTTGTCAAAGGGTCTGCCCCATGTGTCCTCAGCTCACCTCGTGCCACAGAAACTCCAGGGCAAAGAGGTCACCGCTGTAGTTACTCAACACTTTCGAGGAAGGCTCATCTGGGTGGAGGGAAGAGACCATCTCTCCTAGTGGGGCCCCACCTGTGTGGCCTGGCGGTCCTGATAACACAGAGCACCCTTCCCACAACACTGCCAAGTTCACGTTTTATTTGCAGCCCACCCACAGCCACTACCGCCATTACCTGCTCTCCAGGCTGGGCGTGGTTAGATAGGGTCGCTTGAACCAGCAGGCACAGTGTGGTCAAGGGCAGCTGGAGTCTGCTCGAGGTGGGTGGGAGCCCGTGCGACTGGGGATCAGGCGCCAGACCATACCTCCTGGGTGATGTTTTAATCATTTCCAGCATGGAATGTTGTCTACCTCTGCTCCAGACTCAGAAGCTCTGGGTTCCTTTTCCCTGACCCCAAGTTACCCCTTACAAGGTAATACGGACTTTCTGGTGGGAAATTCAGGTGGGCTTTTAAAGTTTTATTCCCAGTAGCTCTTATCCTTGAGAACTCGCCTCCTCGGTTCATTGCCGGCCTCAGCCCCTGCTTCCTTCAGAGTCCTGGCGGACGCAGGTGTGAGGTTTCGGCACCCACGCTGCTGCGGAACGACCTCACCTGTGCGGGTGAGAAGGCAACATTGCTTCTCGTGGCTGGGCATCTGCTCCTTCTGCTTATTCCTCGCCTCTGCCCATGCCGATAACAAACTCGTACTGACCCTCTGGTGAATGTATCTATCTCTGAGCACAAATAAAAGAAAGATCAAACTGCCGAAGCCCCTTCCAGAGTCTTGGTCACCGATCTGCTGCTGTTTCTAGTTGGAACTGCGTGTTCATCATGCTGTTTGTGCATGAACATGCATTCATTTTTATTGCTTAAATGAATGTGTTAAAACCCCAAAGGTCCTGACCTGAAGGACATTAAATGCAAATGTATCAGTGCATTCAAAGATCACTGTTTTCTATCCCTACGCCACAGAATCACATGGGGAGAGGGTTTGAGCTCCCGAAGCAGAGGTTTTCCCAGACCTGATGTAGTGAAGAAAGGCCCGGCCAGAGGAATGTGCCCAGTAGAGTAGAATTTCCTATTTTCTGAATTAGGAACTTAAAACCTGAATCACTAGGCTTTCCTTTGTCCCCAAACAGGTGCAGTTGCAGACTTAGGAAATCAGGGTCTTTGCAAGCCCCAGTGCCTTAGACTCTGTCCTGTGCCCCTGGCTGGTTTCAGAGTCAGGCGGGCAGCCCCGGCACTGGGAAGCGGCATGCCAAAGTTAATCATTGGCCCCGCAGAACACACGGCTGGTCAGGCCATTTGTGTGTGCCTGTTTTTCTATTTTACGTAAATCACCCTGAACATGTTTGTATCAACCTACTGATGATGCACCTTTGATCAATCGTTTTTAGACAAAAGTGGTTTTTGAGTCCAAAGATCAGGGCTGGGTTGACCTGCAGACTGGTTGCAGGGTGTATAAAACGGGCAAGACGCAGGCTGATAGCAGAGCTATCTGCACCAAGTCCGCAGGAGCTCGGCCGGTGGCCTCCGGAGGGACTGGGGAGGGAGGATGGAGGAAGGCATGAACGTCCTCCACGACTTTGGCATCCAGTCAACACACTACCTCCAGGTGACTTACCAGGACTCCCAGGACTGGTTCATCCTGGTGTCCGTGATCGCCGACCTCAGGAATGCCTTCTACGTCCTCTTCCCCGTCTGGTTCCACCTGCGAGAAGCCGTGGGCATCAAGCTCCTCTGGGTGGCCGTCATTGGGGACTGGCTCAACCTCATCTTCAAGTGGTGAGTAGGAGCCGTCGGAGAGGAGCACGGCAAGGTAACAGGCCGGCACGCTTTCTGGAAATGTCTGCTCCAGAAACTTCTCCGCTTCCAGCGGAAGCTGCCTTCTCCACGCTAATCGGAAAGCCACAGTTTACTCCCTTCCTGACTTTCGATCAGCTACATAAAGAGAGAAGACAGAGAAAAAAAAAAAAACCCTGTCAGTGAGCTGAAGATACAGGAAAGGCCATTTCCCATGGATGGGAGGCCAGCCGGACTTAGTGCAAAGTCTGAACGACAGGCTAGAAGCAAAGAAACAGTGTTACCACTTCGCGGCAGAATGGGTAACATGAAAGTAGATTATAAAAGAAAAAAAAAAGGATGTGTGAGAAAAGGAAACAGAGACAATTTAAAAACCTGTGGTGGGGTAAGGAGCAGGTGTCCGGAGCCCTGGGCCGCATCCTGGCTTGGTTCAGCCGCCTGGGCTGCAGGGCCTGGGCAAGTCAGAGCAGGTCTCTGCACTTCTGTCTGATGATCCGTAAAGGCAGGTGATCTCTGAGACCTTCATTAGAATTATAGGGAACATTTACTGAGCATTTGGTATGTGCCAGGTCACACGCGAAGTGTTTTTCTGGAGGTAGTTACTGTATTACAGATAAAGTGACTGCAGCTAGACCAACATGGGGAGTAAACGCCAGAGGCAGGATTTTAAAAATTTATTATTATTATTATTATTTAATTTTTATAGAGGGAAAGGGAAGAAGAAAGAGAGGGAAACATCAGTGTGTGGTCGCCTCTTGAGCGTCCCCTACTGGGGACCAGGCCTGCAACCCAGGCATGTCCCCCGACCGGGAATTGAACCATCGACCCCACGGTTTGCAGGCTGGTGCTCAATCCTGCGAGCCACTGAGCCACACCAGCCAGGGCTAGAGGCAGGATTTACCATAAGCTCGGTCAAGGGGGGGGGGGGGCCTCCAGGAGCAAGGCACTGAAGAACCATGTTATAACCAGTGCTGATAAACTGACTCTTGGAGCGGGTGGGGACGAGCCCTGATTTTAGCATTGGCCAATTTCTACTGTTTCTACATTCTAATTACAGCCACTTATAAGCTGTTGTTGATTAATGCAACCTGCAAAAATCCTAGATATTTTACAATTATTAGCCAGTACCACCTAACTTTAGCACATTACTGGCTTGGCCTCTCTCTCCTCACCTAGAGATGAGGAGTTGGATCACTGGCCCTCTAAGACCGTTACCATCCCCAAATCTAGGACTATCGTCGGATGATTCTTAAGTCTCTTACAGCTCTAATAGTCTTTGGCCATAAGCAATAAATGTCCTTTAGAACAGAAGAAAATATTAGGCTCAGAAGCCCAAGTCATATTGATGGGATTCTGAAATTTCTATTGAAAATCCACTAGGTTTTGTCTATAACATCCCCTATTCAACAGCTTGACCCTAAAAAATAAAAAAGATAAACTGATATTCCAAACACCTGATCTCAGTCAAAGGCTGATGGGTTTTGCTCAGAATTGGTGGAGGTGAGTTAGTGGCTATCCCTGTTTTTGATAAGCAATCACTATTCCACCACCAAGTGGGGAGAAAAGGCATCCAGACTGACATCTGACACCGCTTTCCACAGTGAAAAATGTATCTAGTCCAGCCCTGGTCAAGGGGCTCAGCTGGTTGGAACATTGTCCCGTACACCAAAAGGTTGCAGGTTTGATCCCCAGTCCCAGCATGTATGGGAGTCAAGTGATCTCTCCCCCCCCGCCCCCCCGCTTTCCTACCTCTCTAAAATCAATAAGTATGTCTTTGGATGAGTTTTTTTTTTTATTTTTTAAGAAAACATATCTAGTCCTTTAAAAGAGGAAGTGGTTTGTCTGAGATACTCTGTTTCAAAGCAAAGAGGATACAAAGCAAGCACTTGTATCCTTATGAAGCTATTACGTCCTTACAGAGAGTTATTCTGATGGCGAAGAAGGCCAAGAGTTTGGGAAGTGGGGGGCTTACCCCTGGGGCTGGGGCTCAGTCTCCCATCCCTGAGGCCTGAAGAAAGAGAAAAGGGACCCGGTAGGATATGCAAGTTCAAGTTGCAAACTATAGTTCCATATGCATCCTTCCAGAACAAATTTGGACTTAAAAAAAAAAGTCACATAGCTGGCTATATGAATATGAATTTTTTGGTCTCAGATTTTCTTTTCTGTTTAAATAAATAACAAATTCAAATAGTTCTAAACTCCTAAGTTATGTAAAGGATGTACTATAAAAAGTCTCCCTCCCCATCTTCCCAGTCACCCAGTTCCCCTTCTTGCAGGTGCCAATCTACTGGTTTTCTGTTTAGTCTCCCGTGGAATCCATCTTCCGCTCCAGCTCCTCTCTCTTCTCGAACATATGGGCTTCTGCCAAAAGTGTTCCTTCAGGGGCTCCACACACTGCTTCTTTTTTTCTACAGGATTCTCTTCGGGCAGCGCCCGTACTGGTGGGTCTTGGACACGGACTACTACAGCAACACCTCCGTGCCACAGATAAAGCAGTTCCCGGTCACCTGTGAGACTGGACCAGGTGAGAGTCCCACCCTCTGTAGAGACAGACGCTGGGTGGCCCTTGCTCGCTGCGGACACCTATTAACATTTGTAGTGGGTGAAGCTGTCTGTGAGGGGACATGAGGGGAGCCATTCCTTCGAGATTTTTTCATGATCTTCAAGGTGGTACAATTCTCTATTTTAATTCACTTCAAGAAGACCGTCCTGGGCAGCATTTTGCTGCTACTTTGGAAAGCTGCCTAATGTCCCCAGAACTTTAATTGCTAATCCAGAGAGGCAAGCACCCTCACGGGCAAAGGGCTTATGAGAGGAAGCGTGTTATGGCTCTTTGCCCAAGAAAGGTTAAGCCCTAGAGGCCTGAGGCCCTGGCTGTCCTTCCCAGAGGCCTGGCCTGGCAGCTGTGTCCTCCAGATCTGACTGTCCAAGCCCGCACGCTGCCCGTGTTTGGCTAGTTATGGCCATCCTGGTATTGTTCTGTCAAATGATAGTTGCTGTTTTTCAGTCCGTGGTCAGAGCACCCATCTCCTTCTCTCACATTAGGTCTCACTCACCCTTGGGAGGGGTGCCGGCATCCCTTCCTTGGGGCCCCTGTCCCTGACCCCCAAACTAGGGCATGGCCCGTAGCTGTTTGTTCTCACAAACCTTTGTTCACCTCAGACCATATTCATCATCCAGGGGTTATGTATTGAGTACCTCCTCTGCGCCAGACACTGGTCTAGAAACTTGGGATGCCTCTGTGAATAAAACGAAGGTTTCTGCCCTTGTAAAGCTGATACTTCAATGGTGTGTGTGCGTGCCCACAACATACAAAGTCATAACACAAGGGAAATATAGAGCATATTAGAAGATGATCGTTCAGAAGAGGGAGAAGGAGGGAGCGGAGGGGAGGAGGAAAGAAAAGGACAGGTGTTGCCTGTGGGGCTCCCTGGAAAGCAGACTCGGGCGCAGATCAGCGTGCAGGAGGAGTTCAAGTGCAGCCACTCCCAGGAGTAACATCGACGGGAAGGAATCCAGAAGCCAACCAGGCAGGAGGAGAAGTCCGGTTGCAACGCTGCCTCAGCCTGCTCCGCAGGGAGCTCTGGAACTGCAGGTGGCCCTTCTGAGTTGCCTGAATTGGGTCGAGAGGACCAGGCCCTGAAAATCCCAATATACACCAGTGATTGGGTACTGGCCACCCCCCCAGGAGAGGCTAACCCAGATCAAGAGAGGGTAGCCTTCTCTTCAGCCCAGGGCAATGCCCAGAGAGGGCTGAGAGCTAAGGCCCATCTGGGACCACACTCTCAACATCCGAAAAAATAAGTCCTTCTGTGCAGGAGGGAATCTGGAGCACATCTCAGGACCCTCTATGACTCCAGGTAGAGCGTTCAGGAGTGGGAACTGGTTGCAGAGTTAAATAGGATGGTTGCTGTAGGACTCATTGAAAAAGTGAGATTTAAGCAAAAACGTAAAGGAGGCAAGGAAATTAGCCAGGAAGTTTCTGGAGGAAAACTTACATGACCAGAAAGACTGACGGTCATATTCCCAGACCCGGAGGTGGGAATCTGTTGGAAGGAGAGCAAGGGCGCAGGCCTGAGCGGAGCAGAGGACAGGAGGAGAGTGGAAGAAATGGAGGGCAAACCCATTTGTAATTATACAGCCAGTGCTCTGACTTTTTTGTGCAGGCTGCATATAAGTACGAGAGTTGGGCCTTCTCTGGTTTTGCCCACCACTGTACTTCCAGAGCCCAGCCCAGCCCAGAGCTAGGATTATAATAGGAGCTCAATAGATACTTGTTAAATAGGAGGCTAAATGGGTAAATGAATGGACATCAAGGTGGGTGGATGGATGGACAGACGGATGGATGGATGACACCCCCTAGCAGTCTCCCAGATGGACACTTTCACCTTGAATCCTCTCATTCATCTCTTTCCTGCCCTTTAGGGAGTCCCTCTGGCCACGCTATGGGTAGCGCAGGTGTATACTATGTGATGGTCACATCCACCCTCTCTATCTTTCGGGGAAAGAAGAAGGCCACCTACAGATTTCGGTAAGAACTCAGCCCTGGGGTGTGGGTGGTGGAGAGCAGGAGGGGGCTCTCTCGGTAGCTGACATATGACTTGCTCTTCCTCACATCCCCTAGCCTGTCCCACACTCTGGGTTGGTGCTGATAAGAGTTGTGGCCCGTCTGCTGTGGGTGAAGATTAGAGTCACAGAAGGTTAGGGCTGGAAGACACCCACAGGTGCACACCCTAGTTTTACAGAAAATGAAACAACCCCTAATGTGGTAAAGGGGCTTCTTGAGATCAGGTAGTTCGGTAGTGGTAAGATTTAAATAAAGACCTATTTCTGCACGAAGCACAGAGCCTTCCCTTCCGGGTTAAAGTAAACAGAGAACCATAAGACAGTCCCATTACAGGGGATTCTGGGTATGCAGCCCCTGTGCAAATAAACTCCTCAAATGCAAGGGTTCACCACGTGCCACGGGCGTCCATGAGCTTTTGAGTGCAGGCGTTAATTTACAAATACTCCACTAAAGGCATCTCAGCTTGCCAGGCTTCAGTGCTCCTGCCGAAGCTGTTCTCTTTGCTGGAGGGTTTGTTTCTGGGGTCTGTTATGGCTGCCTCTTCTTTTGCAGGTTTTTGAACGTCATTTTGTGGTTGGGATTCTGGGTTGTGCAGCTGAACGTCTGCCTGTCACGAATCTACCTTGCTGCGCATTTTCCCCACCAGGTTGTCACTGGAGTCTTGTCAGGTACCAGCTGCTCTGGCTTCCTCCCTCCCCCTCCCGCCCATCCCAGGTCTCCCTAATCGGGACGAAATCCAGCGTTCCAGCCTTGTTCTCTAGTTATCAATGCTATTAGCAGTTTAGTGGGTTAAAGGTCAAGGGTGGCTAATTTGAAATTATTCACTTCGGCAGGAGTGCTCAGACGACACAATTACACGTGTCCTAGAAAAGCTGCACCATGCCAAATACTTACTCAAATGAATTAGCTTGAAATCCCTGAGATTCTTACATTCTTTATTTCTTACTGACCTTCAGTCAGGAGTGGCCCCTAGTTTCATTTTAAGGGGCTCTACCAAATTGAACAAATGAATACAGTGTCCTAGGAAAGCTCTTTATTTAACTAAATTCATTTGCAAACTTAGTAGATACCCACAATTGGTCTTCTTAATAGGTTCGGAGTTTTGAATATTTGTGTTTTCTTAGATCCAGTTAATAAGGGGCAGAAAAAATTAGGTTAAGTGTAGAAAAAAATTTCTTGACTTTTGTGGGTGGCATTGGAATATAAAACTTCAGGGAAATTATGATTTTTTTTCCCCCTGGAGACCTGTAAGAGCAGAAAACAGTGCTGAGAACAGGAAAAATAATGATTCCATGGCAACTACAAAAGTAAGACAACACTGAGCTCTGGGTTCCATGTCTGAGAAGGAGCCTGGAAGCCAGGTCACGTGAAAGACCCGAGTATGTGTAGGTTAGAGAGGAGAACTATCTCCAAATGTGCTACAGGGCTCGAGATTTACAACTGAGCTCCTGCAGAAAGAACTGAGACCAACAGATGGCATTAGAGGGAAACAGACTTCATTTGACTCAGCGAAAGAAAGACCTTTTTAATGGTCAAATCCATTCAAAGATGAAAGGGGCTGCCCATGTGGGAGTGAGCTCTCCAGCCCCGAGGGTATTCAACTAGAGTCAGGAGGACCCCCTGACAGGAAGCATACTTGCAGTAGGAGGGTGTTTGTGACATGACTCTCCCTCCTGAAAGAGTCTATGGCTGAGGAAGTTTGGAGTCACATACAAGAATACACCAGGTGACCCTCTAGTTTATTATTTAATGGGCGACAGATGACATGTCACCCAATGGGTCCCAACCCACCTCTAGCTGGAGGTCCGGAGTCTTCCCTATTTCTCATCATCATCCTCTCTTCCTCCCAGGCATTGCTGTTGCTGAAACTTTCCGCCACATCCAGGGCATCTACAATGCCAGCCTCAAGAAATACTTTCTCATTACCTTCTTCCTGTTCAGCTTTGCCATTGGATTTTACCTGTTGCTCAAGGGGCTGGGTGTAGACCTCCTGTGGACTCTAGAGAAAGCCAAGAGATGGTGTGAGCGGCCAGAATGGGTCCACATTGACACCACCCCCTTTGCCAGCCTCATGAAGAACCTGGGGACCCTCTTTGGCCTGGGACTGGCTCTCAACTCCAGCATGTACAGGGAGAGCTGCAAGGGCAAGCTCAGCAAATGGTTCCCGTTCCGCCTCTGCTGCATCGTGGCCTCCCTCGTGCTCCTGCACCTCTTCGACTCTTTGATGCCCCCATCCCAAGTCGAGCTTGTCTTCTACGTTCTGTCCTTCTGCAAGAGTGCGGCCGTGCCCCTGGCCTCCGTCAGCCTCATCCCCTACTGCCTCTCCCGGATCCTGGGACAGCCGGACAAGAAGTCTTTGTAAAGACTGTGGAGCCTTCAGTATTTAAAGCCCATGGCTGTGCCAAGGCTTGAGGGCGACTAGCATCTTCTGCCAGTCCACTTTCAGGCCAGAAGTGCCCCGGTCTTGCATGACCCACTTCCTCCTTTGCATTGCTAATTGTATCAGGGGATGGTTTTTGAAAGGCTAATAAGGGTATTCGAGAATACCCTTGTCTGTGAGGAGTTGAGTTCTTCTGGATTTCCCCCTGAAGACTTCCTTGTTCTTCCGTCAGACGTCCAAAAATCAGACTTCCAGGTAGGGACAGCTCACAGTCCCAGGCTGGGAATCCCACCTGAGAACGCCCTACCCACGCTCATTCTTACTCAGGAAAAGAGAAAAAAGATGTGGATTTAATAGGAAAAGAAGGATGGATTAAGGAGGATTTTTTAGTACCTTGAATATCATGCAAATTATGTCAAACAATACCTAGATGGCTTTGATTATACTTAAATTGTCGACTGACTCAATACTGGGGGGACAAACTTAAGGTGTGATTAATAGGTGGTTAGTGGGATAATTCTGCATCTTGTGTTTTGCTATTATGTATCTGTGGTCGTTATATTTACTAGGCTTTCCAAATGGCTGCGGTGGCCCAGCTGTGCACTACGCCTAGGCACAGTCAGCTTCTTCTCCACACCCTGGATCTCCCTCCTTATTAGCCCAGCTCTGCTTTCCCCAGAATTTCCCACTGGCCCTCCACCCGCCCCACTGGAAATGCAGATGCCTTAAAGGTGACTCTCGGGTGGTGCTTTTGTTATGTTTCAGTTAAGCTTTAAAATCTTGGGCAAAAAGGCAAGGAGAGGCAAGGATTCCCCTCTGCAGAAGGTCACTCCAATGTTACTTTTTGATTTCTGGAGGGTAACCATGATTCCTGTCTCTATCCCAAGCGAACCAAGAGCACGTTCTTGGAGGGGAAAGCCTCCTTGCCTGTTCTCCCGTCTCAGCTGATTTGCAGAATACGCCCTAAAAAAAGTGCTGAAGCCTATTTATTTGAGAGTCCCTGTTTTTGCTACTAATTATGTAGTTCACCATATATTATCATTCACACCAACCTTCCTGGCCGTAACATCTTTGAAAAGAAAAATATATGTGTGCAGTATTTTATTAAAACATTTTATTTAAGAACGAAGCCCTGCTGATTACTGTGTTTTAGGTGCAATGGGATCCGAAGGTTCTAATTCTGGCTCGGCTAAATTTCTAGCTCTTTCTCTATTTCCCTAAACAAATAATTTAGTTTCTGTGTACCTATGTTTTCCCTTTAGAGAAAAAAAAGTTGCTTCGTGTTGGGTCAGTCAGGAGTCCCAGTAGAGTTGGGGAGACTTGTAGAGGGTCCATGAGACACAGGGAGAGTTGAGCACATCCATATAAGCGCAATATCGTTGCCCGAGATTGAACATTCGTCACAGACTGAAGGTCGGCGTGAGTTGCTCTCTGCGGTCAAACCACACCTTGAGGGCAAACAGGCAGGGTCGTGACCAAACCAGGCAGTCAGGGAATGCAAGTTGGAGCAGCAGAACAAAACTAGGCAGATCCTGGAATCCATTACCCTGTGTCAGCAAGGTTTGGGGCTATAGTTAAAGTCTGAACGGGAAAAGTCAGAGCACTGAGGCGTGGTCCAGAGAGCTGCTGCACGTTTTTCCATTTATTCTGTGCGGGGTCCAAAGGCCTTAACTCATCAGCATAACCCTGGGTCCACCAAGGGCAGGACCTTTGGGATGTATTTCTTTAGGAAAATTGAGTCCCCCTAGTGCATTTGGTTTCTCCAGGGGGAGCCCGGACCCTAAAACACTTCGAGGGTTTCACCAAGGGAGAAGGGAAATGGCCTCGTTCTGTCTGAACTGAGCCTCACTGCTCGGGCGGGGCCCCATCTCGGTGATTTCTTTGTCCTCAGGGACCAAGTCCAGGTTCCTGGCAATGGGATTCTGGAGGAAAGTAAATGGTGCCCCTGCCCCCAGCAATTGGTGAGGTTGATAAAGATTCAGATAAAAGTTACTGAGTGCTTACTGTATGTCAGACCCCTGTGTATGCATTTTATTTTATAGTTAGCTCAATTCTCCTGACAGCTCTGTGAGGCGGGTGCTATAATTCCCCCTCACACTGCACATGAATAGATGCAGAGGGGTAAGCACCTCGCCCAGAGTGGCGGAGCTAGTTCAAGGACCAGCAGTCTGACCCCCAGGGCCCGTGCTTCACCCTCTGGCTGCCTCAGCCCTGTAGGTCTGTGTCATGCCTCCTTCAGGTACCGGATATGATTCTTAAGCCGTGGAAAATGTGATTTCTAGTGGGCAAAGGACATTATAAAACTTAGAGTAATTCTCCCAGTGAGCTAGTATTTGTTTCTAAATATGAAGATAGCATATTTCAAAGGTGTTTCATAACATAACTCTTAGAACAGGCCTAACCATGTAACTTTAACAGCAGTATAGAAAACAACTTCAGCTCTTTGTGTTCTTTTTTTCAAGAAAGAGATTATATACAGCCCTGGCTGGTGTGGCTCAGTGGACTGAGTGCCGGCCTGTGAACCAAAATGTCACCGGTTCGATCCTGAGTCAGGGCACATGCCTGGGTTGTGGGCCAGGTTCCCCATTTGGGGGCATGCGAGAAACAACCACACATGGATGTTTCTCTCCATCTCTTTCCCCCTCCCTTCCATTCTCTAAAAATGAATAAGTAAAATCTTAAATAAAAAAAAAAAAGAAAGACATCACGCTCAGACTATCCATGTCAGACAGTGAGGCAACTTAACTATTTCCACAATAGAGTTGGAGCAGGAAGACGGAATTACCATAAAGCACGTCTGATATAAATTCATACACGGGGTAGAAAATAAGGAGACCCTGGGCAAGGTGGTTTGCATCAGAGACTCCACAAGCTCGGGACGGCTGCCTGCTCCTGGATCGGCACGCCCTCCAGGAGAAGCCTGGAAACACGGCCCCAACAGTCTGGGACTTGTGGCGGGTGAAGCCCAGGAAGAGCGTCAGCCCGCGATCAGCTCCTGACGCAGACACTGCGTAAGCACGTTGTGATCGCTGGTCTCTCCCCAAGTTAGAGAGGTAAGTTTGCATTGGAATGGCTTGTGAATGAATGCTCAGGGTTGGAAATAAGGTAAGTGACCGATGACAGTTTTAAACCAAGGTTCGTGGCATGTCATAAGTCGATAGACTGTTCTGGCAGACTGGCAGTTTTAGGGCGGTGGGTAGGGGGTGACACACACGCACACTACACTACACGTGTGTTATTGCCCGAGGAAAACACACCCATTCAGAAAGCGCAACTGCTGCTCTCTGGGCTGAGGCTGCTGCCCCTAAGGCTTTTGTTTTGCTTTTGTGCTTAATGAAATTTATACAGCTTTTTAAAAACGTATAATAACTTTTGAAGAAGATTTTATTCATTTATTTTTAGAGAGAGGGGAAGGGAGGGAGACAGAGGGGGGAGGAAACATAGATGTGAGAGATGAACATCAGTGGGTTGACTCTCCCAGGTGCAGGAACGGGACCAAAGGCACAAGCCAGGCACGTGCCCTCACCTGGAATCAAACTGGCGACCTTTAGCCCAACCAACTGAGCCACACTGGTCAGGGCTGTAACAACTTTGTTGAGATATAATTTACATACCATACAACGTATCCTTTTAAAGTGTACAACTCAACAGTGTTCAACACATCCCGCAAATGGTACAACCACCACAAATCAATTTTAGAACCTTTTTTGTCACTCCGTAAAGAAACCCCATACCCATCAGAAGTCGCCCCCAGCCCACCCCAGCCCACCCCGCCCTCGGCAGCCGCCAGCCTGCTCCCTGTCTCATAGACTTGCCTGTTCTAGACATTTCGCATCAGCAGAATCATGCACTGCGTGGCCCTCCATGTTGGCTTCTTTCGCTGAGCACAATGTTTTCAGGGATCATCCGTGTTGTAACACGTATTAGCACTTCATTTCTTTTTACATCCAAACAATATTTCAGTATATGTATACACAAAATTTAGTCCATTCGTTCATTGGTTGATGGACATTTTGGTCCTGATGAATAATGTTGCTGTGGACATACACGCACAAGTCTGTGTGGAGCTGTGGCTTCACTCCTCTTGTGCGTACACACCTACAAGTGGGACCTTTTCGGGAACTGCCAGGCTGTTTTTCCAAAGACTCAGTGGGGGAGTTTTACAGGGTCTTTGGTTTTGCCATCTCTTTTGATTTCCTAGGATCATACCCTGTGTTATAACTTTATCTAATTCTTTACCTTGAAAGAGTTTTAAAGCGAGATGACTGATCACGCGATCAGATCTTAATGATGCGATGTCAAGGCGCCCCTCCTACTTCCGGGGGCAGGGGCTCCGTCATTCCCGCGTGTGTCCCGAGACCATTTCGTTTGAGGGCACATCTGGGTATTTGGAGATCCAGCCCTTATCAACTCACTGGTGGTTTATAACCTGTCAAAATTTGCTGATTTGCTTTCCTTGAAAGCCATGACTCTGGCTGTTGAATCATTAACATTTATTGATGTTTGTAACTGCCGAACTAGGGTAGTTACCTTTAAAGCCTGTGTGTGTAAATAAAATAGGACAATATCATTTGTATCCAAGGGTTTTTCAAGAGCCTCTGGAGAATGGAAAACGCTCTGGCGGAGAGAACTCTCATGATGTCATTAAGGAAAGAATCAAGTAGCAATAGTACAAAGAAGCAGTCGGCAAAAGCTGCTTCATTAGAGAACAAAAACCTAATGAATTTGGAACCAAAACTAGAAATTGTCTAGTCCAGTAATGGGCAACCCAAAATCTGACTTCAGAGTGAAAGATGAAAAAGCTGCCGCCGGGTTGTTACTTCTTAATAAAAAGGAAAATAAGGCTATAAGTATTTTTATTTTTCTTAAATTGGCCCTTATTTCCTTTAGTTCCTCATCACTAATGCTATTTAAAAAATTCTTTATTTTCACTTCGCAGATTCATAAATTAAGGCCCAGAGAGATTAATTAACCCCTCTAAGTCAGGTAACCTGTTCCCAGGTCTTGTGATTCTTAGCAGAAAGCAGGCCCCCCTTTGCCTGTCTCCTGCCACTGCCTGGGCTGCTACGTCGACATGAAGCTGTTGACAGAAGAGAAAGACATAAGTAAACAGCGAATCCGCTTATTTGAACCAGATCCAGGGTTTGTTAACCAAATGAAAGCCACAGCTAGAATAACTGCGCTCAAGCTGGCCTGTTCCTAATTACGTTATGCGCTCCTCTCTTCCTTTGCTCTCATAAATCTTTCCAGGGCAGAAATGTAACCACGACAAGAAACAACATGGTGCTGTAACGTTTTTTGTTGTTGTTGTTTTTTAGCATGAGGGTAGTTTTGCAGCCAGCAAACGTTCAGTGCCGTCCTCGCTTCCTTCTTTTGCTCTTCATGTTCCAAAGTCATTGCCTTCAGATCAGCTCAACGCAACTCCGTGTGAAGGCCAGTAAGATGCTTCTCATTCTGCCCCGTCGCAGAACTGGGGTCCAGTCCTTTACCAGCTGCATTACTTTCTACCCAGAAGCAAAGAGATTGGAAATCGAATTCCTTCCTCCTCCGTGTGAACGGCTTGGGACCCTGGCTGAGGCACGCCATCACAATTTGATCTCTCCATCCCCGAGTTTCACCCAAATCTCCCCCTTCCACACTGGCCCACTGGCCACACGCCACTGAACCCTACTTGGTCCACCCTCATAATGAGCTCAAGCGAATCTTTTGAGAGATCAATTTGGCTGAATTGATTTGACAACCCAAGTGGCAGAAATCAGTTTCCTTACCTTGGCCATGCCTCTGGGTGGCCAGTGCCCCCTGACCTGGTCCCCCCGCCCTGGCAAGGTCTGAAGACTGCTCTGCCAGGGGACAGTGGCCTGATTCCCGACAGGTTGTGACACCCAGCACATCTTTTCTGCGGCGCTCGTCCCCTTTCTTGGCGTCTCTGGATTCTACAGCAGAGAGTTCTGATGCTGGGGTTCACATTCCCTCATGCCTTGGCACATAAGTGGGAAGACCTTTTGCTGCAAAACAAAACCTACTGGCTGATTTATATTATAACTTTATATGCTCGAATAGCTCTTTAAGGTTCAAAATGGTCAGACCCTGGAGTGTATTGCAACACTGTTTGTTACTCACAAGCAATTTTACGAAGGGGTATCAAACTCAGCTCTAAACTGCACTTTTCTTTCTTCAAAATTCAGTTCCAAACTTTTTTTTTAGACAAAATTAATTTCATAGAGTTGTAAACTTTCTGTTCAGTGTTCTTTGCCACTTAAAATAATTTAGTCTACACATTCTGTAGAGTGAGCAGAGGCTATATTCCTGTCGTTTAAAACAGTTCGCTGGCCTGTCCTTAGGTCACTATACCATAACTTGCCTACTCATTCCCTTATTTGGCATTTGGCTTATTTCCAATTCTTCACCCCTATAAATAGCAGCACATGAACATCTTGGCACAAATTACATTTTTTCCCTTTTGGGTTATTTCCTCGGGTTATGTTCCTTGGGGTATTTCCTTGGGGTATGTTCCCAAAACTGGTATCAGTGGGCCAAAGGTTTGAAAAGTTTCATAGCTCTTGTTACCCATTGCCAGAATATTCTCTAGGCAGAGTATGGTATAGTTGAGCATTTCAAATGTTTGACTGGGTTTCCCACGATATACAAAATGAACTTTCCTATTATTCTTGCATAATCTTTTGTAGGGGAGGGAGTTACAAAACAAAGTTTCAAAACAAAGTTTCAAAACAAAACAAAAATAAAGGCAGAGGTACTCTTTCCAAAGCCAGAGACGAGCTCTTTTAGGCTAGCCCGAGAAAATGCCACCCCACAGGTGCTGAGGCAAAATATCTGTGTCCCAGGCGGACCAGAAAATGACACCTAAGGTCTGTGAAGCCGTGTCAGCCAGATGATATCTGGGGCTGAGAGAGTTCCAGGCAGACTGCAAAGCCAGCAAGTGACAAGGGACCAGGAAGGCTTGGTGAAGTGGGGAGAGAGGTGGCAAATGAAACACAGGGGCACTCTCATCATCGCTGCCTCTGGGGTGACGGCACCAGCAGGGAGAGGAATAAACCGATTCTGTGGCTCTGACATTCAGAGTATCCACCATCTGGAGGTGACTTCTAAGAACTGGGAATGCTCGAGGGCCTTGGTCTCCTTGGCGTCACGATCCAAACCAAACCAAAACAAAACAAAAATAATCTCCTGAGTCATTCTCACCGCCTGGCTCCTTGAGCTAATCATGGTGATGCTGGTGACAGTAATGACCCACATGCACTAAGTCATTACTGCATGCCTGTCACTTTTCTAAAGGCTCCACACACATAACTCGTTTCATCCCCGCAACAACCATTGTTATCCCCACGCCACAGATGAGGAAACAGAACTGGAGGGCTAAGGAACTTCCTCAAGGTCACAGGGCGTGACCACCGCCCCCCGACGCGCACCACACAAAGAATATGTGATGCACTAAATGCATTGAGCCCTGACCAGGGTGGCTCCATTGGTTGGGCATCATCGCACAAAGTGAAGGTTCAATTCCTGCTCAGGGCACAGGCCCAGGCTGCGGGGTTTGGTACCCGGACAGGACACACACACAAGAGGCAACCGATTGCTGTCTCTCTCTCACACCAAAGTTTCTCTCCCTCTCTTTCTCCCTCCCTTCCCCTCTCTCTAAAAATAAATAAATAAATAAATAAAATCTTTTAAAAAAGAATATC